AGGCAAATTGAAATAGCCACTAAACAAATTGAGAAAGTAATCACGAAGGATAATAAGGCAGTTAGGACATACATGAATCCAATTAGACTCTTTGAACTAGAGCTTGCTAAGACGCGTAACAAGTCACCCCGGAAAAGAAGACACAAACCCAAAAGTTGGTGGGATGAGGAAGTTAAGAGAGCCATAGCAAAACGTTAGGAAGCCTCCAGGGAACGCAGACATGCTAAGCAGCGGGGTGCACCGACAGATGATGTTGAAAGAAAATGGGAAACCTTTCTAAGCTGTAGAATGGCTGCATCCCTTCTGATCAATGAAAAGATTAGAAGAAAGGGAGCTCAGTGGCTGGCAGAAGTACATAAAAAAGATAGAAAGGCAGCTGCGAAATTGTGGAACCATCTAAACTCCCTAAGAAATGAGACGAGCCTAGAGCAGAGTTTTATATTTACAGCCCAAGGTGCCAGGCTAGAAGGGGACGAAGCTATTGAATATATAAGAGCAACGGTGACAGAAAAATTTCAACAAAGAAGTACTTTATGCACCACAATAGCCAAGGACGAATCGAGTGGTGCAATGTCTCCCTTTTCACAACGAGAGTGGGAAAGGGCTGAGAAAAGGGTTCCTAGTAGTACATCAACAGGCCCAGATGGCATTCCAATTAGGCTGATAAAGACATTAGGTCCGAAGTCTAAGCAGGCTTTGAGAGAGGCAGTGAGCAAAATAATAATCGATGGGGAAGTTCCCGATGGATGGAAACTTAGCAGGATGAGCATGATCTATAGAGGAAAGGGGGACAAAGCTGACATAAACAACTACCGTCTTATAACAGTGACATCAGTGGTCTACAGGCTGGCGATGCAGATTATAAAGGAACGACTGCAGGCATGGATAGAAGATGAGGGGGTGCTGGGGGAACTGCAGAATGGGTTTCGGAAACACAAGAGGTTGAAAGACAATCTGTTCTCACTGACGCAGTGCATCGAAATAGCAGAAAAGGAACACAGGCCCCTGTGGCTAGCATTCTTGGATATCAAGGGAGCGTACGATAGCGTGGTTCAAGAGGAATTTTGGGAATACTGGACACACTAAGCGTGGAACATGTAGTCACTAATCTTTTAAAGGGTATATATAAAGGTAACAAGATAGTTATAAAGTGGGAAAAACAGGTATCCAAGCCTGCAGAGGTAAACCGGGGGCTTAGGCAGGGGTGCCCCCTGTCACCCTTATTATTCATGATGTACCTACAAGGATTAGAGGCAAAATCAGAGGGAAGTGGGCTGGGCTTCAACCTCTCTTTAGTCAAACAAGGAAAACTTATTGATAAGGCACTACCAGCATTAATGTACGCAAATGATATAGTGCTAATGACCAACAACAAGGAAGATTTGCAGAGATTGATGGACATCTGCGGTAATGAGGGAGATAGGTTAGATTTTAGATTCAGTAAGGAAAAATCAGCAGTCATGATTTTCAATGACAACGAAGGTAGTGAGCTTAGGATAAAGGACGTCACGCTAGAGATAACAGATACATACAAATATCTGGGCGTATGGATAAGCAATGGGACCGAGTACCTGAGGGAACACGAAATATACGTGACGACTAAAGGTAACAGGAATGCAGCAGTGATGAAAAATAAAGCAATAGGGCACTGTGGAGTTACAATAGGTATGGTGTTGTGAGAGGAATATGGAAAGGGGTCAAGGTTCCTGGGCTGATGTTCAGCAATGCGGTCTTGTGCATGAGATCAGAAATTCAAGCAAGATTAGAAATTAAGCAACGTGGAATAGGTAGGCTTGCTTTAGGAGCTCACGGGAATACACCAAATCAGGGAGTACAAGGTTATATGGGATGGACATCATTTGAGGGCAGGGAAGCTAGCAGCAAGGTAAAATTTGAGAAGCGATTGAGAGAAATAGGGGAGGAGCAGTGGGCTAGGAAGGTTTTCAGCTACTTGTACATGATGAATGTCGATACAAAATGGAGGAAGCGAACCAGGAAATTGACTGGTAAATACTTAGAAAACAGCAGGTGGCCAAACCAAAGAGAACTATCGGTTAAGAAGAAAGTGAAGGAAACGGAGACTGACATGTGGAAAATGGGCATGATTAAGAAGTCCGCACTAGAGATATATCGAACTTTTAAGCAGGAAATTGCCAAGAAAAGGATCTATGATAATACTCGGGGTAGTTCTCTACTGTTTGAGGCAAGGACGGGAGTACTGCGAACCAAGACATATCGGGCCAAATACGAAGGGGTAGACACAGTGTGCAGTGCATGTGGAGAGGAAGAAGAAACTGCCGAAGACTTGATAATGTTCTGTAAAGGGCTTCACCCTATAGTTCAGGATGATGGCGCAGAGTTTTTCAAAGCACTGGGGTTTAGGGACCGGGAGGGCAAAATAGACTTTAAGCAAGTAGACTTAACTAGAAGGAGGTTATCTGATTGGTGGCTAAAGTCAAGGCACGAGTGAAAATTAGACTCTTCACTGCAAAGTACGAATCCTCAAACTCACTTTTTAAGGAAAAAATAAATAAGTATAATTTTGAGTTCAATAAGTATTACGGCTTGGTGGCGCTAGCCACCGCCCAATCTAAAGGGCACAGCCTTATCCAATCATCTATCCATTCATTATCACGGCGACGGGTTCAAGGAGGATATAAAAACCTGCTGGAGTGGAAGCCGCCTATGCTTACCCATGGGAGGGGGTGAAGCCGCCGGCAGCCATCTTGGCAGAGGCAAGAAACAGCCGAGTACAGCTGCGCTCGCGCTTATCTAAGCAGCAGGTGCAGTTTCTCGCGTCTTCAAAGCAATAAAAACAGTTGTGTCAGGTTGTAAGCATTTATTCTTTGCTTTTTGGTGGCGAAATGGCCTACGATAACGCTTTGAGAAACTCAAAAATGGCAGAAAAAACACAATCACACAAACATTAAAAATATATGCGAACAGTATAGCCGAAACGAGCAGTGCGGGGAGACTCACTGATGTTTGAAAATGATCATTCTTGAAAGAACTGGCCTGACCCTGTCCTTGATGATCTCGCGGTTTCTTTCTTTTGTCATATGGTGGATGCGGATTTTCACATACAGCTCCGCAACTTTTTTGCACAAGCTGTAGATATGATTGTCGAGGGGATCAAGGCCAAGAATGTGCTGCTCTAGGTTCTGAAACCATTTTTTCTCTACAGACAGTCGTAGCACTTCCAAAACGAGATGCTTTGACTGGGAGTTAACTGCTTGAAGTGTTCCACACTCAATCTGTAGCCGTCGCAGCCCCTTTTCAACGGCTTCACACAAGCCAATGACATCCTTGGACGGGGACACAAGCCCACCTCTGTTTTTCTGCTCAACTAGGGGAACTAGCTCATCTGAGTACAGGGCTGCAATGCACTCTTCGCATGTTGTTGTCTTGCACACTTGGCGTACAACGAAGCCTGCGATGTAAGGCACCACCGCAACAACTACGGCAGAAAGGTTTTCAGGATGTGTGTAGTCGTGGTCATCGTGAGGCTCCAAGATCGAGGACCTGCGCATGTCTGTGAGCGCGCTTGTTGCGTCTACCTGGGCGACAACAGTAGTGGCATTCAGGATGGAAACCATGTCTTTGGTGCAGTTTCCCGAGCTAGAAGACGTCACTTCTGTTTGCACCAGCAAACGCTTGTATGCTGCCATGAACTGAGCAGCGGTTGGGTTGTTGTTATAACCACCTCGGCCACGAACAGATCCGAAGAAGTTCTCAGCGTGATTCTGGCTCAGTTTGTGCGTCAACAAGTACTTCAGCTTACCCTGGCCAACAAGCTCGTCGAACATTTTTTCAGTGCTCGCCATGCAGATCAAGAAGCCCACAAAACCAGTTTTTTTCAAGCCTTCTAAAACTGGCCGCCCAGCCGGATCTCTCAATCCCTTTATATACGCTTGGGTGTAGGCAAAGAATGGCTTCCAGCAGGCTTCATTCTGCTTCCGCAGAGGAGCCTTGTACGACCTTGCAAAAGGGTTCCTAGAATTAAAAAGGTCGAACAGGTGATCGAAGACCCTCACGAACTTCGATGTTGCACTGGCGCCCCGGAACTGGGGTAGCTTCAGCACATTTTCACAGAAGTCCAAGGCGTCAGCCACAGAGGAACTCAATGCTTTCGCAGCATATCGCATCTTCATCTTTTGTTTTTCCCATTGCACGTGGACTTTCGTGAGTTTGTTGCCCAGCCGCAGCCCTTCGGAACGCTGCAATGCCTCCAATGCCACTATGTAGGCCCACTTTATGTGCTTTCCTTCAGCATCAACAATGTAGCTTAAGTTCGCCAAGGAATTGCGAATAAGCTTAATCATGTGGCAGGCGTCTAGGATAATGTAAACATTCTTAGCATCGTCAGCTGGGTTCACAAAGCTTGAAGAAATTTGCTCACAGTCAACACGAAGTTGAGCACCTAAACACCTGGCCATAGTGAAATTCGACGAGGCTCCGTCAAATGTGAGAGAGACTACTTCAGCCTTCACCGACGCAAGTTTCTCAATGCACTGTTTGGCCAGCTCGGCCCTCTCTGCTACTGTGAGTGAGTCTATCAAGAAGTATCCAACTGGCATCTTAAATCTGACGTTGATTCCAACGATCATGAAGACACACGCATTTGCAGCTTCAGGAAGACCGTCATCGTCAAGCCCAGTTCCGAAGTCAACATACCCTACTACCTTATCTCCAACTAGCTCTACGTGTTTCCTGATGGCCATGTCGTCTACAATGAGAGCGCAGTAGAAGGGTTCATCACGTGCTTCCGCAAACTTCTCAAGGAAAGCAAATGCTTCGGCTGTGAAGCCAGGAGCTCCTTGAATCGACTTGTACCAGCCCCTTAGTGTTCGCTGGGATGGGAGGGCTTCGTTGAATTTGGATCGTACATACTCGTACGCGGCTGGACTGTAAAAATGCAAAGTCAGTGCAAATGCTCGCAGCTCAAGTGGGTACTTGCCCTTCTGCTCATTGCCCACCCTGCAAAGTAGAGGCTGAATGTCATCCGAGAAAACAGATGAAAACACATGTGAGCCTTCTTCTGACAAGAGTTTTTGCTCTCTGATTTCTTTGATGATTTCTTGGGCGGTTTCATTTCTCTTGACCAGCCTTCGTTTAGTTTGTTGCAGTGTTTTGACCTTCTTCTTCAACTGGGTTATCTCTTCTTGTGAGGAAAGGACCTTGTCTTTGTAGAACACTTTGGTTGGCGAGTCTTCAAAAAAATTTTACGCTCCAGGTAGGTCGCACAACCCAGAACACTCAGGACCAGGCGGGGCCGGGAAATCTCGAGACTTGGGGTCGGGACGCTTCTGTTTGACCTGGGTTTGAAAGCATACGTTTTCTCAGACGAGCTAAAAAGGCAGCAAGCGCAAAAACTAAATGAAACCTCACACGTATAATGTGGGTACAATTAAGCTACACATTTTCTTTGAAGAAATAATAAATGTATTAAGTAACAAGCTTTTTCATAATCGTGCACGAGACATTGTATGCCAGCAAAAAGGACATGCACCCGCTCTGGTATAACTTTCCATTCGCCGGATGTGCCTTTAAGTATTGAATTGTAACCACTGTCAGTATGCTGTGGATGTCAATAATGTTTTTGTAGTAAACATTGCTGTATGCCCATTCCTGCTTAAGACCTGGTAAACAGGTCAGCAGTAATAAATAAATAAATATGTATCTTGATCACCAGTTAAGGCGAAGGTGAAGCAGTTACCATTACCGGTAACTTCACCTTCGCCGGCGGCGTCCGGTAATGCGGTAAACGGTAACGCAAACACGCTAACGATATGCTAAAACTACAGCTACTCCTCCACAGTACCGCCAATTCTCGGCACGCAATCAATGCCACGTATACCCGCAACAACATTTCGTGGAACAAGTATTATGTAGCGGCCGTAACGCCACAAGCGTTATGCACGCTAAACATTACGCTTCTCGTCCAACAATGGCAGTAATACTCACAGGTTTCTGCAGATGAGGCGGAAAAGCTGGAAACGACGTGGGCACACTTCCCACCCGCAGTCGCGTCGTTTGCCCAGTGCGGTCAAAGCACTCAGGACTGAAATGTACAGAGCACAGGCGGTCTCCATCCTTAGCGCGCCACCCTTCACGGCGAACTGCCCGCTCCCAAAGACTCCGAACTTCTGCATTCTTTGGAAACCTGTCAAGAAATATACGACAATCAACTGCGGCACACGTACACACAATGCCATTTTGCTGCTCTTTCATGCGCGGGCCTGCAAGCAACTACAATGCGGCTGAAATGACCGCGAGTATAACACGCTAAATTTCATGTACTTACAGGTGAAATGTGAGGCCGCAAGCTTTCTTCAGCCTGTTTGTGCATCCGTAGGCAACGCAGGAGGTAACCATTATCCAAGAGCAAGACTTGCACTCATTGAAAACTTTGAAGAGAACAGCGTGCACCAGCAACGAAGCGTGGAGGCGACACACCGGCAGCGCGCTTTCTGCCTCCGGCAAGATGGCTGCCGCTGGCGTCACCTGACGGGCGTCGCTTCCACTCCAGCAAGTTTTTATATCCTCCTTGGCGCAGACATGTGCAAGCACTTGATTGGCTTGGCTAAGCTAGCTTTGGCATTTGCTTCATGGTTGCTAGACTGCTATGGCCACTTCCGCCTTTCATAGATTTTGCCCATTTTAGTTTGATTTAACCGATGTAAGCGAAAAAAAAATGTTCTGATTAACCGAAAATTTTATCCTTAAATATATAGGAGACCAATTAAAAAAGCCTAGATATGAAAGTAGCTAACGTAGTTGCTTTGCCCCGCCATGGTGGCCTAATGGCTAAGGTACTCGGCTGCTGACCCGCAGGTCGCAGGATCGAATCCCGGCTGCGGCCGCTGCATTTCCGATGGAGGCGGAAATGTTGTAGGCCCGTGTGCCCAGATTTGAGTGCACGTTAAAGAACCCCAGGTGGTGAAAGTTTCCGGAGCCCTCCACTACGGCGTCTCTCATAATCATATTGTGGTTTTGGGACGTTAAACCCCACATATGATCAATCAACGCAGTTGCTTGGGCGAGTTGGTACGACATGATGCACATAAAAAAATGGCAGCATATCCACGGAGTGAATGATGGATAGTGGGGCGAAGCATCCGTCCGTTCATTCGTTCTTGCTTCTGTTCTGCCATGCGTGTGTCTGTGTGGCCGTCCGTGCGTCCATCCACCCGTCCATGCATGTGTATGTTCGTGTGTCGGCACGTTCATCTGTGCGTCCGTCCCTGCTTTCGTCCATGCATCCGCTCCTGCATCCGTCTATGCATCCATCCGTCCATGCAGCCATCCGCGCGTCCATCCATGCATCTGTCTGTGTGTCCGTTCGTCCACCTGTTCAACACTCCAAGTACCACCATCTCGCATCTTTTCATCATATATTCCCCATATAGAAGCTCCGCCATCCAGCGGACATTCCAGCGGACATGCCACTAAACGAAAGGTGGCACACGCACACTTTCTTACGGCTTGCACTTCGGGTCTATTTCCCACCTTTAACCACCTCGATTTCATGGTATATACTAGTTCACTGTATTCATGGCACTGCGGCCCAGCGCTCTCTAAACCTTTCTAGAACCTAGGAGGTTACGCCTAGCGAGTATAACGTAGCAACCCTTTCTTACTTTCTGTGCGTTTTTTAACAATAAAAAATTCGCAGCGTGCACGTTAACTAAAAGCCGAATTCTCCTGTCTCTCATTCCCCCTTAGCAGCCATTGGCATGTACATTGAGCACTATCTTTTATTGTTCAACAAGGCACAGAAGAAATCTCTCACCGGCACCACCTTGGAGGTCAAAATGTAATACGGGTTACACACTACGACTACTACTACGGCTATGAGGGACGAATGGGTGCCGCTATAAGGAGCTTCGCCTCTAAAAAACAGCGCCAATAACGAGGGACAAGCAAAGAAAGAGACAGCGCCACTGACTTACAAGATTTATTTGCTGGAACCGCGCAATATATACTTGAGCTGTATCCGACAAAAAAAGAGAAAATACAAATTAAAGAAAACATCAATCACCTAACAACCGAGTAATCATTTTGCGTACCAAGTACGCGAAATTTATGAGGCGGAAGAAATAAAAAGGCTGGGCAGTGAATGTGTCAGTAGGCCTTCGACTGCTCCATCATAAAAAAAAAAAAATAGATTTTCTTCAGAACGTTGGCACATATGTTGTTCATGGCGCGTTATCACGTTGATTACTCAGTTGTCAGGTGAATTCTGTTTTCTTAGATTTGTATTCTCTCTTTTTTGTCAGATACAGCTCAAGTATATATTGCCCGGTTCCAGCAAATAAATCTTGTTGTAAGTCAGTGCCGCTGTCTATTTTCTTGTCCCTCGTTATTGGCGCAGTTATTTATGTGAATCAAGCCTAGATGGTTTTGCTTATGCGGCTTTTCCGTTTAACCGAGTTTCGTGTAATGGGAGTCCACTGTACATCGAGAGCTGTGATGATATCATGAGTGAATTCACGGAGTTTGAATAAAAGGCTGTGACCACATCAAAAGCTATTCTGATCATTGCATAAAATCTTATTTGACTTCAGAAATGCAATGATGTGTTTGTATGTTATGTGTTTGATTATTTTGAATGAGTGAGATGTAAGAGAAATCAGTCTATAATTGAATGAGGACTGTTTGTTTCCACAATTGAATCGAGGGAGATTTTTAATGGACTTCGCTGTTTGGGAGATTCGAGATTGATAGAAATGTTTGAAAAAATAATGGTTAACTAGCAACTAGTTCATAATGAATATCTAGTGAGAAATTCATTGTCCATATTGTCCGTAGTACCTTTTTTCTAGAATGTAATCCTAAAATCAAGTTCAATGCTCCCTGATTTAAAACAAAAATATAATTAATTGAACTTTGAGACTGCTGTGAACAAGAAAGAACGATGAGGTTGTCATGGGTGAAAACAGATGTGAAATAAGTATTAATTGTATTAGCAATGACAGAATCATATCTTGTATCTTTTGTTATAAATAATCCCGTGGTCGTCACTTGTACTGGCGCTCTTTGGCCTTAGATGCCCTTGCGCCAATAAAACTTAACGTAATAATCCCATGGTCGTCAGCGCGTCTTGAGAAATTTTTCTGCATGCTCATAAAACCATACACAGTATCCAAGTCTCTAAGATTTTGCAGTGATGTGATTTTTTTTATCTGCTGTTTGTCTCGAAAATGACTCGCAGTGATGTTTTCGGCGACTTTGCTTGGCTCGTGTGTTGAGGGAGTAACGACGACGGGAGAAGCCATCCACGAAACAGGTGCATGAACCTTGGGCATAGGTGCACGCAATGTGGTGCAAATACAGCGAAGCTGTATAAAGCCACATCGTCTCATTGTAACAGCTCATTTTCAAATAGAGTTGTGAAGCTCGGAATATTTCAATTTCAATTTCAATTTCTTTATTTATTTACCAGACCAAACTGGAAGGTCGCCAAGGCTAAAAGCCGTGAGAAACGGCTTGACAAAGGCCCTGGTGACCTGAATATACACATGGCAGTAGTGCGGAAATGATTACAAGTACATAACATGCAAGTACAATAAAAAAAAAAAAAAATATGAACAATACACAATTCAAAAATGATTTTTTAACTGATTATTTTACAATACCTGTTATAAAATGTGTAAAAAAGGGTTTTCAATAAGCAAAATACACCATGCACAGACAAATCGTATACATTGACACTTATCAACCTAAAAAGAAACATATATAAAAAGAAACCTAGGAATAAACATGGTTAAGCATACAAGAACTCCTGCTAAAGCAGAACAAAACTGTATGCACATGTCGATAAGAGAGCTACCAGCATTGCTATCGATTCTCAGTGTTTCTGGACAAAAAGGCACATCGGTGTTCAGAGCTTTTGAAATCGAAAAGTACTGCTTATCAAATAGCTACGTGCTTTTGGGAGCAACTACTGCAGCTGCGAACACTGCGAAGGGTGAGCTTTTGGTCGCGCCAGAAAAAACTGGGTCGAAAAAAAAAATCAGTTGCCACTCCTTATAAAGGACTGAAGAGACAAGATTTTGTTTGCACTGATTTCTTTGTAGAAGACAGCAAAGTAGTGTTGCACTCATTCGTGCTCAGTGTGAAAGCATATCTATGCTTTCACAAGCATAGATATACTTGTGAAAGACAGAACTAAGTGGTAGATTCTTTATTTGTTTATTCACTTTGCTGAAAACGTACTGATGCTGTTAAATCGCTTTTAGAATATTGGATTACTAGGCATTTTCTCGATGCGCTTTCTTCTAATATGAAACATGACACACTGTGAATTTATGTGTATGTTTGTTTATACAAGTTTTGTCTGTACTTTTTATAACAGCTTTGAATTCAGCAAATGGCTAAACAACCAGAATGATTGTAGCCTTTAAAGAGTGGAGCCTGGCCCAGCTGTCCTCATATCGTGTCCGGTCCACCACCACTGGTCTTCACATCAGACAGCTATAGCACAGTCTTCTCAGCAGCCACCACTCTCGTGGAAGAGCCTTCATTTCCACCTAGGAAGGCCATCCCAAGAGGTGCAGTGACTGCAGGTGATTTTTCAATATCCTAGTTTGGCTATGATGGTGTACACACAAACATTAAAATGTGTTGGACATTATGCAGGTGGCAAAATGTGAGCCTCCAAAGTTGCTGCACCACATCATTTTCGTGCTGCAGAATGGATGGGTCTATGCGCCATTGTGGCTTGTCGCTTAATAAGCAGGCCAATAAGTGTGGTTCCCTCGCCTGTTAATGTAGCTACTTGATATAATAGAGGAGCTGGCTAGTCTCTGATTGATGGGGAGGCTCGTTTAGTGTGTGGGAAGGGTTTTCGTACTCGTTTGTGCGTGCCACACTGTCTTCGACTAGTAAGCTTCATTTCTTCAAGTTTTCAGAATAATCTGCATGTCTCTAGTCTTACTTTGGTCTTTGAAGGGCCCATAAACCACCCAGAAAACGAAATTCAGTTGTGGTAGGGAAAATATGTACAACAAACACAGAGTTGAGAGAATTTTTCGAAACGTTGCAATAATAGCAAAGTTAGACGCATTTGATTATTGAAACCGTGACAACCACACATTTCGTTCTCTCCTGCGCTTACCTCCGCTGGTATCCTCTGCCACACCACTTTGCCATTTTGCCGAGCGCCCCTCCCGTGCGCTTCCAAATCTCGCGTGGCTTACGTCATCGCCGACGCTCGGCTTGAAACACTGTCTACTTTCGGTTGTAGGTATCGGTTGCGAACTGTGGCTGCCGTAATCGTGCTGGTATAGACCCCGCGTTGTACGCACGCTATCAAAGG